TGGCAAAGTACCTTTTACTGTTGATGAGTTTGTGGAAGTTGTTGTTGGTCTGAGAAAGCCAGATCTGCCGCTGAATAAAGCTAACTCTTCCATGTTAAAGCATTCTAGGTCTCCTGAATCGTTGAGCAGTATCAGTGATACTGTCCCAGATCTTACAGAATTTGGAGTGAATTCAAAAACAAAATTAACAGCTAGGCGACACTGGAAGGGTGGAGAAAATGAGGCACTCAGAAGACTACACCTTCATTTGAAGAAGGTAATTCTCAAAAGCATATAACCAGCTGAGCGGCGAATGCGGCGCTTAAAGAACGAGTTGAAAAAATAAGCGTTTTTGGTGATTCAAAGATCGAAAAAAACATTACGGTTAAGTAGAATTGTTTTATTCTTATTTTCCATATTTCTTAGGAAAGTATATTATATTTAGTGAAAAGAAAACAGAAAAATACGCAAAAGTTGGATAACATGCCCAGTAGCCAATGAATGAGGGCCGGCGGCAAAACAGTTAAACGCGCTGTGGTTGGCTAAAACAAAATTCACAGCTCAGCTGAAAAGATTGAATGAATATTACTATTTTATTTGGTAATGATAATTTTACGTTTTCCCTTTTTGCTTAGATGGAAGAACTGGATTTTAAAACCAATAAACTAAGTGCTGAAGATTTTCTTCCAAATGACACGCATCTCAGTCCATATCTAAGATTTGGCTGTCTATCTCCGAGGCTCTTGTATCACTGCATTGGATCAATATTTAGAAAAGTAAGGCTCTTAATCTATTGAGATTTCAGGCTCTTAATCTATTGAGATTTCAGGCTCTTAATCTATTGTTTCCTATCATATCCCCAACACATATCTGACAATGATCAAAGCTGTCGTTATAGAGGCTTTGTACTATTACGTGATGGCAGCCATTTCATGCAGGGGAAGGAACTATTGAATCTGGTCTAATCTGTTTTACATTGGGAAAAAAGATWTACGTTAAGAATATGAGCAATAACTTCATCGATTCGCCTCTACAATGATTTTCTACTTTAACTACACAGAAGAAAGGCTGCGATCCTCCAGACATCATCTATCGTCCCTTGCTGTGGCGGGAGTTTTTARTTCATATGGCTAATGATAATACTAACTTTCACAAAATGAGGAATAATCCAATGAGCTTGAAGCTACCGTGGGAGATCGAGGATTATGGACTTTTCAGATGGAAACAGGTAAATCAACTCAATCAATAGCATTGGCAGATTAAAGGGTCCTGAACGGGTAAAATGGGAGGTGGGATACACCTTTTTGGGGCTGGGAAAACGAGATTTYATGCACTGGGAATGAGATTCCAAAACGAAAAGACAATCAAAAACTGAAATGAGATTGAGATTTGAGCAAAACATATAAGCTGGAATTACGGGAATAGGTCAAAACGGGGGCTGGCAAATGGGATTAGGAACCTCAGATTACCGTAGGTCCCCAGCGTACGCTTAATTTAGCCCTCAAGCAAACTATGTGTTTGACTATCTTGATATTCTTCAAGGGCACTACAGGATTCCCCTGGATCGACGCYATCATGCGACAGCTTAATCAGGAAGGATGGATCCACARYGTGGCTCGMGAGGCGGTTGGATGTTTTCTTACACGTGGATGCTTGTGGATCAACTGGGAAGAGGGATACAAAGCTTTTGACGAACTCCAGTTGGATTCCGAGTGGAGTTTGAATGCTGGAGGCTGGATGTGGGTATCGTGCAGCTCCTTTGTTCATGGCAGCGTGCCTTGGTATTGTCCTGTAGAAGCTGCTAAAAGGCTCGATCCTTGTGCAAGATATATTAGGTACATTCTGGTTTTTAATGGATTTAAAGTAATCTATTTTTTAATGAGAAACTTCAAGCGAATATACTCAGCTTAATAGACTTCAAATTGACGTGCTTGTCTTTCCTCGTAAGAGAATACGAATGACCCACTTCGTGGCACTTCGAAATCATTTTCTCATGATTACAGGCAGTTTTAAATTTTCGACGATTTTTCAACTAAGACGAATTCAATGATCCAACCAAAGGGATCTCAAAAAATCTCTTCACTTAATAGACTTCAATTTTGCTTGCTTATCTTTCCTCTCAAAAGAAAACGAAAGATTCYCTTCGTGTAGAAAAAAAATTCTCATGATGCGGCGATTTCTCAGCTAAAACGAATTATTTGTGCAAGATACATTCTTTCTTACGGTCTGATCATACATGATGCTTTATTATTTAGTACTAGGTCTATTTGATAATATTGATCAAGTATTTTCTTGACGGAAACCAAAAACCCAAATTAATCTTGGTGCCTTCGTTATGTGTCTGCAATATTAGGTTTGTTTTCTTATTCTCCAGGCGATACGTACCTGAAGTTCGCCATCTTCCAGCGCAGTACATGTTCGAGCCATGGAAAGCTCCCCTCAAGGTCCAAATCGCTGCACGATGTGTGGTAGGGTACGACTACCCTGAACCTATGTGTGACCACCGCGTACAAAGAAAGATTTGCGTGGAAAGGCTTAAGGTCATCAGTCGAGACCTTAACACACGAAGTAAGTCACATGGAATACAATAGAAAAGAAAATATATATATATATATTCGGAAAAGACCTCACAGTACCCTCAAAAGTTTGGGACTCTAACTAAAAATATAGTTGTATAAGAAAAAGTAGTGGCAAAAAGTTACGAAGTTTCGATGACATCTTGTTTTCATTATCAAGTAGAGTAAAAAGATTGAACATGATAATCATGACAAGATGTAATCGAAACGTCGTTTTGACCATATATCTTTTGTTTTCAAAATGTCTACCCCAATCTTTGATACGTTTTGTGACTAGTTTTTCTTATAAATTAGCTTAAATTCTATTTCCGACGTTAGTTTCATAAGAATATAGTATTTACAAGAATGTGAAGGAGACTAAGACCTAAGCTCATGAAAATCAGTAAAAATAGGGGGCGGGGGAGCTAATGCCCCCAGATCCTACCTTTTGGCAGTCCCTGCCAAAGCACCAGATGACCGCCTAAACAATCTTATATATACATATACATATGCATAAATTAAGAATCCTAATTCCTGTTTTTTTAGCTCACAACACGATTCACTGGTTTAGAAAAGACCTTCGTCTTCACGACAACCCTTCGTTGCTCAAAGCCTTGAAGGACAGTAAGACGCTCTATGGCGTGTACTTCCTTGATCCACAACTTCTCAAGGGAACTACCAAGGTCTCACCCAAGMGGGTTGTCTTTTTACTGCAGTGTCTACGCAACCTCGACAACAACCTCAAACGCAATGGGTCGCGATTATTTGYGATCCAAGGACGACCATTTGAGCAATTCCCACGTATTTTCAAGGACTGGGATATAACGAGGCTGAGCTTCGAGTCGGATCTCGATCCACACGCGCGTACCCGTGACACAGCGATACGGAACTTAGCCGAGAAGAGCAGCATTGAGGTGATTTCTGAAATCTCTCACACACTTTTTGATGTCAATGAAGTGTTGAACGCTAACCAGAAAGAAACTCCGATGACTCTGGATTATTTTGAGCTGGTTGCTGCTTCCCTGAAGGTGCCTGATCCAGTTACTACTATTGATGGGGGCGTGCTTGACGGCTGCATGACTTTGGTCGAGCGTGACCACGACGTTAAGTATGGTGTGCCCGACAGCTCATACATTGGACTTAAAGAAACATACAAAACGGCTTGTTCTCCTTTTAAAGGTGGAGAAACAGAGGCTCTTGTGCGTCTTGACAAAGCCATCTTAAAGGTAAGGGAATCAAATGTAATGTTCAGCATGTGAGTATTCAAAAGGACATGCACGGGCATCGGGACAGGACTCATACCTTAGAATACGGAATTACTCGGTAGTTCTCGGTTCCCTAACAACTTAAGCAGCTCCACCATAATGGTACAACAATGGTACCATAATAAACCTATTGGTATAGGTTTTTAAGTTGAAACATAGGCATTGAGGACTCGACTGAAGTACAATTCACTTGAGAATCATACAGATTATAGTGGTCAGTACCCTTGCCTCAGCTCACCTCTTGGCTCTCAGGTTCGATCCGTTCCAGGACTTGGCCKACCATGTTTTGATTCGAGGGTTTTTGTCCGGCTTTCCTTCCTCCGCAAAACCTAGCACTCTAAATTCCAAATCGATCCGCTCAAAGGTTGTCAGTTCAGGGTATCAATAAGATTTTAATTTTAAACAAATCCTCATGTTTGTTCCTTCACTTGCACTAACGTCGTCCTCACATTTGCATTTATATGGGTGAATKAAGATGAAGAACTCCAAGTTCACAGAGACTGCTAAGGTCGATGCTAGCTGTTTCTTGGCATCAGATGAAGCTCTCAGTCCTTATATGAGGTTTGGTTGCTTATCRCCGAGACTTTTCTACCAGAGAATAACCACTGCCTACAGAGAGGTTAGTGACTGATGTTCCTAGAATATTTTTATTTGGGTCTGGATTAAACATAATAACAAATGGATCCATAGGGAATGTATATAGAGGATATTACACGGTGGCGCGAAGATATGAAGTTTATCTTCGAGTGGTAAAAAAGTTTTCAACACGAGAAGATAAACTTCATATCTTCAAGCCAATGTGTAATTTTCTTTTTATYATATAGACAAATCCACAAAGAAAAACTTATCAGGTTAATCAAAACGGGTCCCGAAAAACATCGCAAGTGACGTCATTGATATCCTCACTAGTGAAGAKATGGAAAATGTGTTACTGAGGTCCCGGATGTAGTTCGTATGAAAAATACGAGTGGCGTATTTCCCAGTAAAACACTCAATCACTGTGATGATCAACACATCTATCATTATTTCACTACAGTTCTACCCATTCAATATTCACTCATGTCTATATCATAAATCTGTGAATAATTTAAATGTCTCTGAAGAAGTAATGCCAATGAGATGGCATGTTTTGTGCGTGTGAGGAATGATAAATGCTGTCTTTATTGATGCCTTGGAAACGATACGTTTTATTCTAAAGCAGTACTTTACTCGAGCATTAACCATTTTCATTCATCATGATGACCCTTTTTAAAAACAGAACAGGCCATTCTTAGCTTTTTCTTACTCACTTTACTCATCATTTCTTTCCAAAGGTGACAGGACAGTCCCCTCCATTACCTGTTTATCGAAAACTACTCCAAAGAGAATTCTTTTTCGTGACGGCCAGTTCCAACCCTGAGCTACAAAAAATGAAAAACAACTCCCTGTGCTTGCAGTTACCATGGGAACAGAACAATCCTGCGCTGCAACGCTGGAAACAAGTAAGTTAATAAACTACACACGGGTGCTTACCATTTACCCGGAAAACCGGAAATTCCCGTTGGGAAATAAATGGTATGTGTCATTCCAATCGGAAAGTTCTGGAAAACTCGGTAATCCACTTTTCCCGCTCATTTCGGTTCTTTCGATAGACGCTTGTACCATTTTTCAAAAGTCAAAATTTCCCGCTCTTCATCTTAACATTAGGGGATACATTTCCAACCGGATGGATTGGTTTAAATGGTAAGCACCCCAGGACTACTACTTCATGTGTCTTCAAAAACATAGTCCTTGGTGTTTCTTGTTGCTAAAGCTTTTTTCTTAAAAATTAGGGCACCACAGGTTTCCCATGGATCGACGCCATCATGCGCCAACTCCGTCAGGAAGGTTGGATTCATCACGTGGCTCGAGAGGCGGTTGGATGTTTTTTGACACGCGGATGCTTGTGGATCAACTGGGAAGAGGGATACAAAGCTTTCGACGAGCTCCAGTTGGATTCGGAGTGGGGCATGAATGCCAGCTGTTGGATGTGGTTGTCGTGCAGTACCTACATCAAGGGATCGGTTCCTTGGTATTGTCCCGTAGAGGTAGCCAAGAAGATGGACCCGGCAGGAGATTATATCAAGTAAATATTACTAGTATTTTTTAAGCTGGTAATTTATGTTTTCTGTTCTGCGTGATGGATACATTTCTGACGAAAGGACAAAAAGAATGCATGTAAACGTACTAGATATTATTTGCACTCTCTCCTCTCCTCTCCTCTCCTCTCCTCTCCATGTTTCTTCGTTTTAAATTTTTAAAGCTAGTTGTCCAAGAGGTAACATAGAACTTGTTCCAACTGACCTATAACTGTTTTCTTTTAATCGTTTTACAAGGAAATTCGTACCGGAAGTGCGAAACCTTCCAACAGAATACATCTTCGAACCTTGGAAGGCTCCCCTCGAGGTACAGGAAAAGTCGGGGTGCATTGTGGGTAAATCCTACCCATATCCGGTGTGCGACCACATTGAACAACGTCTTATCTGTGTGGCAAGACTCAAGCAGTTCAAGACGATGCTACTAAGGTCTGGTTAAGTTTTCCTTGATCTCTCTTTTCCTCTTTGTCTATATAATACTACTTATATTATAATCATGACAAAGACATTTTTCAGGCACCGATTTTAAGAGTGAATCAAGAGAATATTAAGTATTCATATTCTCTTGGAGTGAATGCATAAATACGAATTTAATAGTTTTAAAGATTTCTAAACATCYTCGTAGTTGAGTCCTAAATAGTCACGTTTTTGAACGATTCTACAATTAAATGCATAAATGTAGATTAACTAAATAGATTTTTAAAGAATTCTAAACATTCTTGTAGTTATCCTTATTAATTTAATGTACTTGATATGTCTTTCCGCTGTGATTAATGACGTGTTTGTACCGGCCGTGGATTGCTGTGGTAGGACTCCACGAACAGTGGGTATATATCTAAAAAAATCTGTATTTCTTGATTCAATTTTAAAACTAAGTTTTACTAGTATTTAACGTTGGCCAAGTTAGAAGAAAAAAACACTTAAACGATAACTACACCAACATACAATGATCATGCACAAGAAGTACTTAAAAACGTAARCAAGGACTAATAAGGTACTCCATGTTAAACCTGTGAAAAAAACTAATATATACCATTCAATAAGGTGAATAAATGAAAGATAAAAGTTCAAGGTGACCAAGCTGATCTAGAGGTAAAGTTACTAATGTGAAATTTTAACCCCAAACTAGCGTGACCTCGGACCTCATGTTTTTCCATTTCAGACCATGTGTCATTCTCTAGAGTATTATTTCTTTTTTGGTGAAGCTTCGGTACAAGCTAGGACCTCATGTTTTTCCATTTCAGACCATGTGTCATTCTCTAGAGTATTATTTCTTTTTTGGTCAAGCTTCGGTACAAGCAACACCATATAAGACAATGAACAAAAACTGTTTGTACCCAAGCTAGACCACAATGCACCACGTTCGCAGCAAATAATTTTATTCTCAAGGGAATGACACGTGGTCTGTAATGGAAAACATAACTTTTAAGAAAAGGGCCTTGTTTAACGTGTTCAAATTTCTAGGCCCATCTTCCCCTTCTCTCCCCTCCCTAACAACATAAACGACTTAGTAAAATCACGTGACACAGAAATGCAAGTATGGCACCAGRATATAATAACATTCAGAAAATCACACACATAAGATATATGCTTCAGCCAATAAAGGCTTTTCAAATGGAAATATTCAATGGATTATGAAATTTGATTGCATAATGACGTCAGCGGCGGAAACAATGGAGGCCATCTTATACTACTTTCAGTAAAACCTGTTTTCCACAAGGTTGGCGCTTCTTTGTGAATCAGTCTTAGGGATTCATACACAAAATTACATTTGTGATAGTTAAGCGTAAAAAGCGTTATAAGCGTAAAATATGATGCTCGTTACAAAGTTGGTGATGAAAGCAAAGGCATTTTGGTTATATCTATATACAAAATAGCTTGGGCATCATTTYGGCAAACCTTTGAATAGCAGAAAAAAAGCGACTTTGGGAGACCACTAACTACAATACGTGTTGTGTATTTTAGGAACAGTGCGCAGTTTAAAATACTAATTGTATTGATTCCAGTAACCGCAATTTATGGTAACAAGAACTAAGCGTGTGGTACGTTTGATTTAAATTCAGCTCGTACATATTTACAAAATGTCCAACATAACATTTGTTAGAACCACAAAAACGCTAAATGTACATAAATGGTTTTGATTAAAACTCTTAATTGCGTTAAATGTTTATCAATATTTAAGCGAATATATAGTATAAAGTCCACGAAAAAGCCAGCTCTTTCTGATTACATAATACTCAATGCAGAAAACAACCACGTGCTCTTTGTAGAAGATGCCATTTGGTCATTCAAATCGAGGTCTTGGAACGAGACTGTTAGGGCTTTCTTTAAGTTATCTTGGCTGAGTACTGTAAAGAGTCTGTTTATTCGATTACCATACTCGACATCTCTTCTCAGGATTCATCGGGCTCCCTTTTGGACAATTGTACGCTTTAGCAAACGCTTCACTATTTACGAGTACTCCATGGACTCTGTATGAGAAGAAAAGCGATCTTAGCTTTCAGCTATTACTTGAGTCGTGGAATTTCACTGGGGCTAGATGAAATCCATAGAAATATTAACTCGTGTTCAGTTTTAACCGTGAAGGAAGGAATAATACTCAAGGGCATGGCCTTGAAGTTAAGTAGAGAACCGGAAGGACTGAATATCTTCAGACCAMAGTTAAGGAGTAACCAACTTTACTAAACAACAACAACAAATCGCATCGGTTGTTAGACAGCTTTCGCAGCCACGCCACCCGTGCCTCCGCGCTGATGTGGTATTAATATGAACGCGTTCGTTTAAAACGCGCCTGGGCAAACGAGACCTTTGGTTCAAGGAATAATTAATGCATAACGAATGGGACAATACCATTCAGTACCATTCAAGGTAGAACAATAGGACTAGTGAGATGGGTTACCTGTACTTTGGAACGGAATGAGTGTCGATTTTGGCTCGTGMAAACCTCGCTTCTGGGGTATACAGACTGCACCACATCTATAGAAAATCAAACGGGTAGAAAATACGTATCAATACAAACCCCTGTTCGACCAAGATACTGTCGACCAAGATAGAGGAAAAAATGTTTTTGATGCAAAAACATTTCCAGACCCCAACCTAATAGCATTTATGTTTTTCAGGTACCCCC